AGTTTAATTGCACTGCCTGTGTATAAACGAATTTTGTTTCAGTTTTTTCCGAATGTAGAGTCTCTCTATCAAGTGCTCTTTCTCTTAAAAGCCACTGAAAGTTAAATGTTGAACAAAAAAGAAATGTAAATAAAATTTAATGAGTACTCGTAAAGAAAGTTAGTGGAGCCAAATTGTCTTCTGTTAAGGCTGCTCAAAATGTGCTTTTTCTTAGTTGTTTTAAGCATACTTTATTATATTTTTCCCTTAATATGAACTATTTTGGCATATTGTGAAGTTTTAATGAACCAATTTGTCAAGATCTATTTAAAATTGGTTCCATAAATAAAAATTCATTTTGAAATCAAATCAGAGATGTTTTATTATTATCGAAGTAAAATTCTGCAGATTAACTTTCAACTTTGTTTCGAAGAGCACTCTGAAAGTTTCTTTTGGACTTCTTACCCTTCTGTTGGCAAATGCATGACAGAATTATGTTTTGACAATGCTGATGTCTTTTCCTTATAATAACGACTGATGCAACTGTAACCGTGTCGCTGTAAAGAGCACATGTTTCCCACTAGTTCTTTTAAAGTTTCCTGTTCTTTCTTTAATTGGGTCAATCTCCGCTAAAAGATCAGATGTTGCTTTTGTGTTATTTAACAATTCCTTTATCTTATCTTTAGTTAAAAGCTCTTCTTCGTAATGAGCGCTTTTATTATCAAGGGGTTTTTATAAGCACTCCATTCTTCTTTTGTAATTTTCTGATTCATTGTTTGACTTCTCTGTCTTCCATATGTGAAAATCCTTCGGCATCCTTTGCTTTTGAGATTTGTAAGATTTCTTAAACTTCATTTTCAGTCGATGGAAATTGTTTAAAGTAGCAGATAAATTCTTTCCGGTGTTGATGGATGAATGTATAAATGAAATTCTAGCAGTAAACAAATTAAATGGAATCCTTGAAGATACTGCTATACGTTTAACGTAGTTTAATACAGTTTAATGTAGAATACCTGCTTCAAGGCTAAAAGTAAAGTATTTGAATTATGTTTTACCTTTCGTCTGTTTTCAGACGTAGGTTCTATTCTACAATTTACGGAATTTCTCTTTATTGGACATCTCACATAGCTGACAAAATTTCATTCCTATGTTTAGGTTTTATAGTACGATACGTTGAGCATCCCTACATTAGTATATGACTTTGATTCCTTCGAAAGAAAAAGAGTATCTTAGTTTTTCTTAATTTTTGGTCAAAATGTTTAGTATGTAGGTAATTACAATAGCTCTTCCATGAAATTGCTTTTAAATTTTTTGCATCATTTCAAAATGCTGTATCATTCAATGGCATTTGATGTGTTTTCGGCTTGCTGTATTAGAGCTGGGCTCGAACCAGGGCAGCTAGGCAATATGTTCTTTCCCTGAGTGAAATATTGCTATAATTTCATTAAAGTGACGTGGTAATATTTCAGGATAATTTCTTGTACATTGGACTAAGTGTTCCTCTCTCCTGGATGACAGTACCTAAGTAAAGAACTTAAAATTAGAAACGGTTCTTACGTTAAAATTCTGAATGAAATATTTCTTTTATGGTTTATGACTTGTGTTTCCAAGATGTTCTTCGAAATCTGTTTTTAGAATGGTGTTTTTGAGCCCTTTCTAAAAAAAAATCTAAAAAAGTTTATATGTATAACTCTTTTAATGTTAATATATTGCGAGTTTGATTCTTACTCTTTTTTGATCTGTTATGTCACTAATTCTGTGTGTGAATTAAGATAGTTTAATATATAACAACTGCTTCAAAGCTAACAGTAAAGTTTATTTTGTCATTTAAAATTACCTGCTTATTGTCTTTTGGTGCCATCTTTCTACTAGCGCTGAAATTATTTACTCTTCTCGAAGATCATTATCCCTTTTTATTCTGTGTATCCATAATAACTGTCTAATTTTTTTTTCTTTCATTGTTCATGTTGTACCCATACATTAAAAACCCCTTCGTTTACTGTACTTCTGTCATATTAGGAAAATCATTTGCTTTTCTGTCGACTGCAGTCATGATTTTAGTAACAATGTAGCACGTTGCTAGAATTTAAAACAAAGAAGGCTACTTTTGATGTTTTATATATTAAGAAACAATATTAGATATTTCTCTTTGTGTATAATTATTCTTTAATTTCAAAGTAGTTAAAATCTAATGATTCCTTTTCCCCCACCTTGGCCTCTTCTAGTGTAATTTGTCATCATTTTTGTGCACTCTTGGATTGCAGAACATGATATCATCAAAGAAAAAGAACGAAGTTGAAAAGAACGGAGAAATAGTGCAGAGCAAAAAGACATCTGTGGCTGGTAATTCTTGTTTTATATTAACTTTATTTCCACTAGAAATGCTTGAATTTTATAATTTGTATGTCCCTTTTCACATGTTGCTTTATATTGGAGTTACATGAACGCTTCACATTATGTTTTAATGTTTAGGGTAGCATTTATGCATTAATTTCTTAAGTTTTGAATTCCATATTGAAGTGTCTGAATTGGTGCTTTCATTATATTGTATTGTAATATTGGAAGTGAGGTGGAACTGTTAATCACACTGTAATTATCCGAAGTCTGAGATTTCTCAGAGTTCTGTTGCTTTGTAGTGGTTTCAAAATTACTGCTGTAGTGTAATTTTTCCCAAGTGGCCTCCTTTTGCATTACGAGGAGGAGGCTAAACATTTTCCTCTCTGTGTGGCCTAATGTTTTCCCTGTCCAACGGGGTCTTCTGTCCCCAACAGGTCAGTTTAATTGCACTGCCTGTGTATAAACGAATTTTGTTTCAGCTTTTTCCGAATTTAGAGTCTCTCTATCAAGTGCTGTTTCTCTTAAAACCATTGAAAGTTAAATGTTGAACAAAAAAGAAATGTAAATAAAAATTTAATGAGTACTCGTAAAGAAAGTTAGTGGAGCCAAATTGTCTTCTGTTAAGGCTGCTCAAAATGTGCTTTTTCTTAGTTGTTTTAAGCATACTTTATTATATTTTCCCTTAATATGAACTATTTTGGCATATTGTGAAGTTTTAATGAACCAATTTGTCAAGATCTATTTAAAATTGGTTCCATAAATAAAAATTCATTTTGAAATCAAATCAGAGATGTTTTATTATTATCGAAGTAAAATTCTGCAGATTAACTTTCAACTTTGTTTCGAAGAGCACTCTGAAAGTTTCTTTTGGACTTCTTACCCTTCTGTTGGCAAATGCATGACAGAATTATGTTTTGACAATGCTGATGTCTTTTCCTTATAATAACGACTGATGCAACTGTAACCGTGTCGCTGTAAAGAGCACATGTTTCCCACTAGTTCTTTTAAAGTGTTCCTGTTCTTTCTTTAATTGGGTCAATCTCCGCTAAAAGATCAGATGTTGCTTTTGTGTTATTTAACAATTCCTTTATCTTATCTTTAGTTAAAAGCTCTTCTTCGTAATGAGCGCTTTTATTATCAAGGGGTTTTATAAGCACTCCATTCTTCTTTTGTAATTTTCTGATTCATTGTTTGACTTCTCTGTCTTCCATATGTGAAAATCCTTCGGCATCCTTTGCTTTTGAGATTTGTAAGATTTCTTAAACTTCATTTTCAGTCGATGGAAATTGTTTAAAGTAGCAGATAAATTCTTTCCGGTGTTGATGGATGAATGTATAAATGAAATTCTAGCAGTAAACAAATTAAATGGAATCCTTGAAGATACTGCTATACGTTTAACGTAGTTTAATACAGTTTAATGTAGAATACCTGCTTCAAGGCTAAAAGTAAAGTATTTGAATTATGTTTTACCTTTCGTCTGTTTTCAGACGTAGGTTCTATTCTACAATTTACGGAATTTCTCTTTATTGGACATCTCACATAGCTGACAAAATTTCATTCCTATGTTTAGGTTTTATAGTACGAATACGTTGAGCATCCCTACATTAGTATATGACTTTGATTCCTTCGAAAGAAAAAGAGTATCTTAGTTTTTCTTTAATTTTTGGTCAAAATGTTTAGTATGTAGGTAATTACAATAGCTCTTCCATGAAATTGCTTTTAAATTTTTTGCATCATTTCAAAATGCTGTATCATTCAATGGCATTTGATGTGTTTCGGCTTGCTGTATTAGAGCTGGGCTCGAACCAGGGCAGCTAGGCAATATGTTCTTTCCCTGAGTGAAATATTGCTATAATTTCATTAAAGTGACGTGGTAATATTTCAGGATAATTTCTTGTACATTGGACTAAGTGTTCCTCTCTCTCTGGATGACAGTACCTAAGTAAAGAACTTAAAATTAGAAACGGTTCTTACGTTAAAATTCTGAATGAAATATTTCTTTTATGGTTTATGACTTGTTGTTTCCAAGATGTTCTTCGAAATCTGTTTTTAGAATGGTGTTTTTGAGCCCTTTCTAAAAAAAAATCTAAAAAAGTTTATATGTATAACTCTTTTAATGTTAATATATTGCGAGTTTGATTCTTACTCTTTTTTTGATCTGTTATGTCACTAATTCTGTGTGTGAATTAAGATAGTTTAATATATAACAACTGCTTCAAAGCTAACAGTAAAGTTTATTTTGTCATTTAAAATTACCTGCTTATTGTCTTTTGGTGCCATCTTTCTACTAGCGCTGAAATTATTTACTCTTCTCGAAGATCATTATCCCTTTTTATTCTGTGTATCCATAATAACTGTCTAATTTTTTTTTCTTTCATTGTTCATGTTGTACCCATACATTAAAAACCCCTTCGTTTACTGTACTTCTGTCATATTAGGAAAATCATTTGCTTTTCTGTCGACTGCAGTCATGATTTTAGTAACAATGTAGCACGTTGCTAGAATTTAAAACAAAGAAGGCTACTTTTGATGTTTTATATATTAAGAAACAATATTAGATATTTCTCTTTGTGTATAATTATTCTTTAATTTCAAAGTAGTTAAAATCTAATGATTCCGGCCAGTGTTCATCATTTTTGTGCACTCTTGGATTGCAGAACATGATATCGAAAAATGAAAACGGAGAAATAGCAGAAAAAGACATCTGTGGCTGGTAATTCTTGTTTTATATTAACTTTATTTCCACTAGAAATGCTTGAATTTTATAATTTGTATGTCCCTTTTCACATGTTGCTTTATATTGGAGTTTTACTAGTTACATGAATGCTTCACATTATGTTTTAATGTTTAGGGTAGCATTTATGCATTAATTTCTTAAGTTTTGAATTCCATATTGAAGTGTCTGAATTGGTGCTTTCATTATATTGTATTGTAATATTGGAAGTGAGGTGGAACTGTTAATCACACTGTAATTATCCGAAGTCTGAGATTTCTCAGAGTTCTGTTGCTTTGTAGTGGTTTCAAAATTACTGCTGTAGTGTAATTTTTCCCAAGTGGCCTCCTTTTGCATTACGAGGAGGAGGCTAAACATTTTCCTCTCTGTGTGGCCTAATGTTTTCCCTGTCCAACGGGGTCTTCTGTCCCCAACAGGTCAGTTTAATTGCACTGCCTGTGTATAAACGAATTTTGTTTCAGCTTTTTCCGAATTTAGAGTCTCTCTATCAAGTGCTGTTTCTCTTAAAACCATTGAAAGTTAAATGTTGAACAAAAAAGAAATGTAAATAAAAATTTAATGAGTACTCGTAAAGAAAGTTAGTGGAGCCAAATTGTCTTCTGTTAAGGCTGCTCAAAATGTGCTTTTTCTTAGTTGTTTTAAGCATACTTTATTATATTTTCCCTTAATATGAACTATTTTGGCATATTGTGAAGTTTTAATGAACCAATTTGTCAAGATCTATTTAAAATTGGTTCCATAAATAAAAATTCATTTTGAAATCAAATCAGAGATGTTTTATTATTATCGAAGTAAAATTCTGCAGATTAACTTTCAACTTTGTTTCGAAGAGCACTCTGAAAGTTTCTTTTGGACTTCTTACCCTTCTGTTGGCAAATGCATGACAGAATTATGTTTTGACAATGCTGATGTCTTTTCCTTATAATAACGACTGATGCAACTGTAACCGTGTCGCTGTAAAGAGCACATGTTTCCCACTAGTTCTTTTAAAGTGTCCTGTTCTTTCTTTAATTGGGTCAATCTCCGCTAAAAGATCAGATGTTGCTTTTGTGTTATTTAACAATTCCTTTATCTTATCTTTAGTTAAAAGCTCTTCTTCGTAATGAGCGCTTTTATTATCAAGGGGTTTTATAAGCACTCCATTCTTCTTTTGTAATTTTCTGATTCATTGTTTGACTTCTCTGTCTTCCATATGTGAAAATCCTTCGGCATCCTTTGCTTTTGAGATTTGTAAGATTTCTTTAAACTTCATTTTCAGTCGATGGAAATTGTTTAAAGTAGCAGATAAATTCTTTCCGGTGTTGATGGATGAATGTATAAATGAAATTCTAGCAGTAAACAAATTAAATGGAATCCTTGAAGATACTGCTATACGTTTAACGTAGTTTAATACAGTTTAATGTAGAATACCTGCTTCAAGGCTAAAAGTAAAGTATTTGAATTATGTTTTACCTTTCGTCTGTTTTCAGACGTAGGTTCTATTCTACAATTTACGGAATTTCTCTTTATTGGACATCTCACATAGCTGACAAAATTTCATTCCTATGTTTAGGTTTTATAGTACGAATACGTTGAGCATCCCTACATTAGTATATGACTTTGATTCCTTCGAAAGAAAAAGAGTATCTTAGTTTTCTTTAATTTTTGGTCAAAATGTTTAGTATGTAGGTAATTACAATAGCTCTTCCATGAAATTGCTTTTAAATTTTTTGCATCATTTCAAAATGCTGTATCATTCAATGGCATTTGATGTGTTTCGGCTTGCTGTATTAGAGCTGGGCTCGAACCAGGGCAGCTAGGCAATATGTTCTTTCCCTGAGTGAAATATTGCTATAATTTCATTAAAGTGACGTGGTAATATTTCAGGATAATTTCTTGTACATTGGACTAAGTGTTCCTCTCTCCTGGATGACAGTACCTAAGTAAAGAACTTAAAATTAGAAACGGTTCTTACGTTAAAATTCTGAATGAAATATTTCTTTTATGGTTTATTTATGACTTTGTTTCCAAGATGTTCTTCGAAATCTGTTTTTAGAATGGTGTTTTTGAGCCCTTTCTAAAAAAAAATCTAAAAAAGTTTATATGTATAACTCTTTTAATGTTAATATATTGCGAGTTTGATTCTTACTCTTTTTTGATCTGTTATGTCACTAATTCTGTGTGTGAATTAAGATAGTTTAATATATAACAACCTGCTTCAAAGCTAACAGTAAAGTTTATTTTGTCATTTAAAATTACCTGCTTATTGTCTTTTGGTGCCATCTTTCTACTAGCGCTGAAATTATTTACTCTTCTCGAAGATCATTATCCCTTTTTATTCTGTGTATCCGTAATAACTGTCTAATTTTTTTTCTTTCATTGTTCATGTTGTACCCATACATTAAAAACCCCTTCGTTTACTGTACTTCTGTCATATTAGGAAAATCATTTGCTTTTCTATCGACTGCAGTCATGATTTTAGTAACAATGTAGCACATTGCTAGAATTTAAAACAAAGAAGGCTACTTTTGAAGTTTTATATATTAAGAAACAATATTAGATATTTCTCTTTGTGTATAATTATTCTTTAATTTCAAAGTAGTTAAAATCTAATGATTCCTTTTCCCCCACCTTGGCCTCTTCTAGTGTAATTTGTCATCATTTTTGTGCACTCTTGGATTGCAGAACATGATATCATCAAAGAAAAAGAACGAAGTTGAAAAGAACGGAGAAATAGTGCAGAGCAAAAAGACATCTGTGGCTGGTAATTCTTGTTTTATATTAACTTTATTTCCACTAGAAATGCTTGAATTTTATAATTTGTATGTCCCTTTTCACATGTTGCTTTATATTGGAGTTTTACTAGTTACATGAACGCTTCACATTATGTTTTAATGTTTAGGGTAGCATTTATGCATTAATTTCTTAAGGTTTTGAATTCCATATTGAAGTGTCTGAATTGGTGCTTTCATTATATTGTATTGTAATATTGGAAGTGAGGTGGAACTGTTAATCACACTGTAATTATCAGAAGTCTGAGATTTCTCAGAGTTCTGTTGCTTTGTAGTGGTTTCAAAATTACTGCTGTAGTGTAATTTTTCCCAAGTGGCCTCCTTTTGCATTACGAGGAGGAGGCTAAACATTTTCCTCTCTGTGTGGCCTAATGTTTTCCCTGTCCAACGGGGTCTTCTGTCCCAACAGGTCAGTTTAATTGCACTGCCTGTGTATAAACGAATTTTGTTTCAGCTTTTTCCGAATTTAGAGTCTCTCTATCAAGTGCTGTTTCTCTTAAAACCATTGAAAGTTAAATGTTGAACAAAAAAGAAATGTAAATAAAAATTTAATGAGTACTCGTAAAGAAAGTTAGTGGAGCCAAATTGTCTTCTGTTAAGGCTGCTCAAAATGTGCTTTTTCTTAGTTGTTTTAAGCATACTTTATTATATTTTCCCTTAATATGAACTATTTTGGCATATTGTGAAGTTTTAATGAACCAATTTGTCAAGATCTATTTAAAATTGGTTCCATAAATAAAAATTCATTTTGAAATCAAATCAGAGATGTTTTATTATTATCGAAGTAAAATTCTGCAGATTAACTTTCAACTTTGTTTCGAAGAGCACTCTGAAAGTTTCTTTTGGACTTCTTACCCTTCTGTTGGCAAATGCATGACAGAATTATGTTTTGACAATGCTGATGTCTTTTCCTTATAATAACGACTGATGCAACTGTAACCGTGTCGCTGTAAAGAGCACATGTTTCCCACTAGTTCTTTTAAAGTTTCCTGTTCTTTCTTTAATTGGGTCAATCTCCGCTAAAAGATCAGATGTTGCTTTTGTGTTATTTAACAATTCCTTTATCTTATCTTTAGTTAAAAGCTCTTCTTCGTAATGAGCGCTTTTATTATCAAGGGGTTTTATAAGCACTCCATTCTTCTTTTGTAATTTTCTGATTCATTGTTTGACTTCTCTGTCTTCCATATGTGAAAATCCTTCGGCATCCTTTGCTTTTGAGATTTGTAAGATTTTTAAACTTCATTTTCAGTCGATGGAAATTGTTTAAAGTAGCAGATAAATTCTTTCCGGTGTTGATGGATGAATGTATAAATGAAATTCTAGCAGTAAACAAATTAAATGGAATCCTTGAAGATACTGCTATACGTTTAACGTAGTTTAATACAGTTTAATGTAGAATACCTGCTTCAAGGCTAAAAGTAAAGTATTTGAATTATGTTTTACCTTTCGTCTGTTTTCAGACGTAGGTTCTATTCTACAATTTACGGAATTTCTCTTTATTGGACATCTCACATAGCTGACAAAATTTCATTCCTATGTTTAGGTTTTATAGTACAATACGTTGAGCATCCCTACATTAGTATATGACTTTGATTCCTTCGAAAGAAAAAGAGTATCTTAGTTTTCTTTAATTTTTGGTCAAAATTTTAGTATGTAGGTAATTACAATAGCTCTTCCACGAAATTGCTTTTAAATTTTTTGCATCATTTCAAAATGCTGTATCATTCAATGGCATTTGATGTGTTTTGGCTTGCTGTATTAAAGCTGGGCTCGAACCCGGGCAGCTAGACAATATGTTCTTTCCCTGAGTGAAATATTGCTATAATTTCATTAAAGTGACGTGGTAATATTTCAGGATAATTTCTTGTACATTGGACTAAGCGTTCCTCTCTCATGGATGAGAGTACCTAAGTAAAGAACTTAAAATTAGAAACGGTTCTTACGTTAAAATTCTGAATGAAATATTTCTTTTATGGTTTATGACTTTTGTTTCCAAGATGTTCTTCGAAATCTGTTTTTAGAATGGTGTTTTTGAGCCCTTTCTAAAAAAAAAATCTAAAAAAAGTATATATGTATAGCTCTTTTAATGTTAATATATTGCGAGTTTGATTCTTACTCTTTTTTGATCTGTTATGTCACTAATTCTGTGTGTGAATTAAGATAGTTTAATATATAACACCTGCTTCAAAGCTAACAGTAAAGTTTATTTGTCATTTAAAATTACCTGCTTATTGTCTTTTGGTGCCATCTTTCTACCAGCGCTGAAATTATTTACTCTTCTCGAAGATCATTATCCCTTTTATTCTGTGTATCCGTAATAACTGTCTAATTTTTTTTTCTTTCATTGTTCATGTTGTACCCATACATTAAAAACCCCTTTCGCTTACTGTACTTCTGTCGTATTAGGAAAATCATTTGCTTTTCTATCGACTGCAGTCATGATTTTAGTAACAATGTAGCACATTGCTAGAATTTAAAACAAAGAAGGCTACTTTTGAAGTTTTATATATTAAGAAACAATATTAGATATTTCTCTTTGTGTATAATTATTCTTTAATTTCAAAGTAGTTAAAATCTAATGATTCCTTTTCCCCCCCCTTGGCCTCTTCTAGTGTAATTTGTCATCATTTTTGTGCACTCTTGGATTGCAGAACATGATATCATGAAAGAAAAAGAACGAAGATGAAAAGAACGGAGAAATAATGCAGAGCAAAAAGACATCTGTGGCTGGTAATTCTTGTTTTATATTAACTTTATTTCCACTAGAAATGCTTGAATGTTATAATTTGTACGTCCCTTTTCACATGTTGCTTTATATTGGAGTTTTACTAGTTACATGAACGCTTCACATTACGTTTTAATGTTTAGGGTAGCATTTATGCATTAATTTTGTAGGTTTTGAATTCCATATTCAAGTGTCTGAATTGGTGCTTTCTTTATATTGTATTGTAATATTGGAAGTGAGGTGGTACTGTTAATCACACTTTAAATATCAGAAGTCTGAGATTTCTTAGAGTTCTGTTGCTTAGTAGTGGTTTCAAAATGACTGCTGTTGTGTAATTTTTTCCCATGTGGCCTCCTTTCGCATTACGAGGAGGAGGCTAAACATTTTCCTCTCTGTGTGGCCTAATATTTTCCCTGTCCAACGGGTCTTCTCTTCCCAACAGGTCAGTGTAATTGCACTGCCTGTGTATAAACGAATTTTGTTTCAGTTTTTTCCGAATTTAGAGTCTCTCTATCAAGTGCTGTTTCTCTTAAAACCATTGAAAGTTAAATGTTGAACAAAAAAAGAATGTAAATAAAAATTTAATGAGTACTCGTAAAGAAAGTTAGTGGAGCCAAATTGTCTTCTGTTAAGGCTGCTCAAAATGTGCTTTTTCTTAGTTGTTTTAAGCATACTTTATTATATTTTCCCTTAATCTGAACTATTTTGGCATATTGTGAAGTTTTAATGAACCAATTTGCGAAGATCTATTTAAAATTGATTCCATAAATAAAAAATTCATTTTGAAATCAAATCAGAGATGTTTTATTATTATCGAAGTAAAATTCTGCAGATTAACTTTCAACTTTGTTTTGAAAGCACTCTGAAAGTTTCTTTTGGACTTCTTACCCTTCTGTTGGCAAATGCATGACAGAATTATTTTTGACAATGCTGATGTCTTTTCCTTATAATAATGACTGATGCAACTGTAACCGTGTCGCTGTAAAGAGCACATGTTTCCCACTAGTTCTTTTAAAGTGTCCTGTTCTTTCTTTAATTGGGTCAATCTCCGCTAAAAGATCAGATGTTGCTTTTGTGTTATTTAACAATTCCTTTATCTTATCTTCAGTTAAAAGCTCTTCTTCGTAATGAGCGCTTTTATTATCAAGGGGTTTTATAAGCACCCAATTCTTCTTTTGTAATTTTCTGATTCATTGTTTGACTTCTCTGTCTTCCATATGTGAAAATCCTTCGGCATCCTTTGCTTTTGAGATTTGTAAGATTTTTAAACTTCATTTTCAGTCGATGGAAATTGTTTAAAGTAGCAGATAAATTCTTTCCGGTGTTGATGGATGAATGTATAAATGAAATTCTAGCAGTAAACAAATTAAATGGAATCCTTGAAGATACTGCTATACGTTTAACGTAGTTTAATACAGTTTAATGTAGAATACCTGCTTCAAGGCTAAAAGTAAAGTATTTGAATTATGTTTTACCTTTCGTCTGTTTTCAGACGTAGGTTCTATTCTACAATTTACGGAATTTCTCTTTATTGGACATCTCACATAGCTGACAAAATTTCATTCCTATGTTTAGGTTTTATAGTACGATACGTTGAGCATCCCTACATTAGTATATGACTTTGATTCCTTCGAAAGAAAAAGAGTATCTTAGTTTTCTTTAATTTTTGGTCAAAATGTTAGTATGTAGGTAATTACAATAGCTCTTCCATGAAATTGCTTTTAAATTTTTTGCATCATTTCAAAATGCTGTATCATTCAATGGCATTTGATGTGTTTCGGCTTGCTGTATTAGAGCTGGGCTCGAACCAGGGCAGCTAGGCAATATGTTCTTTCCCTGAGTGAAATATTGCTATAATTTCATTAAAGTGACGTGGTAATATTTCAGGATAATTTCTTGTACATTGGACTAAGTGTTCCTCTCTCCTGGATGACAGTACCTAAGTAAAGAACTTAAAATTAGAAACGGTTCTTACGTTAAAATTCTGAATGAAATATTTCTTTTATGGTTTATGACTTGTGTTTCCAAGATGTTCTTCGAAATCTGTTTTTAGAATGGTGTTTTTGAGCCCTTTCTAAAAAAAAATCTAAAAAAGTTTATATGTATAACTCTTTTAATGTTAATATATTGCGAGTTTGATTCTTACTCTTTTTTGATCTGTTATTTCACTAATTCTGTGTGTGAATTAAGATAGTTTAATATATAACAACTGCTTCAAAGCTAACAGTAAAGTTTATTTTGTCATTTAAAATTACCTGCTTATTGTCTTTTGGTGCCATCTTTCTACTAGCGCTGAAATTATTTACTCTTCTCGAAGATCATTATCCCTTTTTATTCTGTGTATCCATAATAACTGTCTAATTTTTTTTTCTTTCATTGTTCATGTTGTACCCATACATTAAAAACCCACTTCGTTTACTGTACTTCTGTCATATTAGGAAAATCATTTGCTTTTCTGTCGACTGCAGTCATGATTTTAGTAACAATGTAGCACGTTGCTAGAATTTAAAACAAAGAAGGCTACTTTTGATGTTTTATATATTAAGAAACAATATTAGATATTTCTCTTTGTGTATAATTATTCTTTAATTTCAAAGTAGTTAAAATCTAATGATTCCTTTTCCCCCACCTTGGCCTCTTCTAGTGTAATTTGTCATCATTTTTGTGCACTCTTGGATTGCAGAACATGATATCATCAAAGAAAAAGAACGAAGTTGAAAAGAACGGAGAAATAGTGCAGAGCAAAAAGACATCTGTGGCTGGTAATTCTTGTTTTATATTAACTTTCTTTCCACTAGAAATGCTTGAATTTTATAATTTGTATGTCCCTTTTCACAT